AGTGACTAATTGAAACAATAATGAGGACCGAGGGAACTGGAAATGAGCGCCAGACAACTCTTACCAATCAATCTCCTCTTTTTTGGGGGGTGGGTGGGATAAAAAAGTAGAAGCCTATTGATCACGTAAAAGCATGTGTCAGAGATTAAGGATGGCACTACAACGGTCCTTTCTTATCAGGAATTAATGGTAGCATAGGAAGGCTCCAGCTCGAATTTAAATTAGTGGACACCTAATTTGTAAGCAGATGATGCTGGACGTGTTGAAATAAATATATTGATTCTAATCTCTTACTGTGTCGATTCTCATAGACGGTATTTTCCGTAAGCAAAAGAAAGTTCTGCAAATACACTAAAAAATATTAAAGGATTCGTTCCAATACACAGTTTATTCTCTCATTAACATTAGTCATGCTCGACTCATGGGGGTGGGGTCATTTATACAGAAGGTTATTTCAAAAGTGAATTTCTCATCTCTGAACGTGTGATCCATCTGATGCCACCGTTTAAGGCTGTAAAAGCTTATAAATGCAGATTTTTATTTATTTATTTTTTTTCCCATAAAAGATGACGTATGACGAGTGATATAAATCCATTAAAAACAGCCATTGTCTGCAATCACGTAAAATGACAGGTGGCTGTCTATAGGACTGGCGTGAGGAAAGGGCAGTTTATTAAAACAGCGAAGCAGCTACAAGTGTCCACTCTCCTATTCCTGATGGACCTATTTCGGAACTCTGGGAAAGCATTTCAAAAACAAAACGCTGTTATCGATTGAAAAGCAAATGGCACATACAGATTGCAGATTTTTAATTGGATATGTTTCGTAGCGATGCCACAATCAGGAAAAAAAAACTCACAAACCTGGCAGACTAAGCATTGTTTATTTTGGCTTTGTATAAAAGTGTGAATCAAGACCTGAATATACACGAGGAAATAAACATTCTGTAAATGGAGCACTGGCTTATGATGCGAAGTTAAAGCCCTGCTCACCCTGGGTTTTTACTGACTGCCCGACCCCGCAAGGAGTTAAAACGAGAAATATGCTATTTTGAAAATCTTTAAGATTTTGGGTCACCCCAGAGTTTGATTTTCACCAGGAGCATAATGCACATTGAACAGCCCTTATGTGAGCGCACTCCTATTGACTACTCATCCTTTTAAAAGGTGATCCCCAGGGGCATCTGTGATGTTTACGGAAAGACAGTGGAAGCAGTAATATTTCTTTTCTTGTGGGCCGGGGCAGTTGTAGGGGTGGGGGGGGGGTGAGAATCGAGAGAGGAGTGAAATGATGTCATCAAATGTTGCAATATATGACAATTATGCAATTCCATTAAGGGGATTAAGTATAATCTAATTTTACAGATTTGTATTTTTCTGTATAGATTATGCATAAATCACCACAACAGCTACCAACTGCAAGGCAAAAACAAGGAGAAAACAAACAGAAACCCTCAGGCTGTAGAGGCGACTGCAGAACTGCACCATGGATATTTGTATGTGTCCCTGTTGTTGGGCTTCCTCTGTAGAACTGTGTCCACACATCTACCAAAATAATCTCTTTCTGCAGTGTACACAGATTTAGCATTTAGCGCTGGCTTAGTTAAATGTCACTAACTGGCCTTGGGCTTTCCAACACCTTTAAAGACTCAGTAAGCAATATACAGCATAATTCACAGCAAATTAAATGAAAAACAATCCCACAGACATGTACATTTGATAAAGTTTCAATACTTTCCCCCCAAAAAGAAATCATTTAGACGATTTAAAAATAAATGTTCAAAATGTCATTGCTTCTGCAGAAACAGCCTGTTGATCCTCGCTTGGCATTTCTAAGTGTAATCATTTTTATAAGCGTACATAATAAGGTATAAGTATACTTTTCTGTGGATGATGGAAAGATGTTTATTTCCAAGATGGGGGGGGGGGGGTAAAAGTTGCTGACCTTTGGCAGTGACCAGGGGGGGTTTGCTAAGTCGGCGTCCCCTCAGAAGAGGCGGTCCTGGGCAGCTGTCCATCGGCCCCTGCATCCATACATACATCCGTCCATTCATGCGCTGCATGGTTGCCATGAGATGGATGGGAAGCCAGCCCGTTGCAGAGCACGCACACGCTCACACCACAGGCTATTTAGAGATGCCAATTTATGTAATTCCCTGCCTTTGGACTGCTGTAGAAAACCGGAAAATGGGGGGAACATGCAGTCCCTCCCTCCCACAAACACACACATAGATATCTCAGGGGTAGCATTGGACCCCCAGTCTCTACAGGCTCGCGACAGTGGCACCCACAAAATTCCCTGGATGGCATATTATCACAAAATCATTTTTGAGGCTTATTGATTCGAAGCTGTAAATCAAAATGCGGATGGATGAGGAAATTAAAGTGAAAATGGGATCACTGGTTGCCCTGAGGTGGGTGTTTCACCGCTGACTGACGTCAGAGACACATTCACACATCAAGACGACGGTTAAGTGACAGAGATGTGAGTCGGGCTTTAGAACACGTCAGTTTCCAAGCAGTATCTGAGCTGCTGAAATCTACAGACGCATCTCATTGTAGATAATCATATATACACAATTTGTTCAACATATAATCAGCAGGTATCATTATGTATCATTTTCATTAAAACATACAAAATTTATCCTAGCGTTTTTTTTTTTTGCATTACAGTGTAGCCTGCGGTTCACGAACGCAATCCGTTCCAGGAAAGTGGTCGCGAGCCAATTTGTACGTGAACCAAGGCAATTTTTCCCATAAGAAAGCATTGAAATTCGATTAATTAGTTCACAAGCCTACCAAGTAATAATTTTTGTTAATTAATTTCCTGGTTTTTATAGTAAAAACTTTAAAGAAAAACACAATATAGTGTGACGACGGGCGGACCGAGGCATCGCGGGAGCAGAGAGAGACATGGAGACTTGCTTGCTGGAGAAATTATGCTCTTTATTATCAATTCTTAAAATGACCACAACAGGCACCCAACGAGTACCGAACCGAATACACAGACAGGCAACACAAGGATGTCAGACTCCAAACTGCAAGATGAACTGCAAGATCTGAAATATACGCAAGGATGGGACCAGGTACACACAAGACATGGGCAAACACATGCATGACAATATGGAAATGCAACCATTAACATTAATGACAACAACAATACAAGGGCTATTTACAATTACACACGGGGCATGCTGGGACATACGCCCCGCCAGCACTAATATAAAAAAAAGGAATCTGGACATGGAATCGGTTTGTTGACCAATTTTGTACACGAACCAATGCATTTTTTCATGAAATTTTTGGTTGTGAACCAAATTCTTCGTAGGCCACAGCGTTCATGAACTGCAGGCATCACTGTATAACCATCTCTTTTTATTTAAGTAAAACAATTACTTCTATAATGTGTAGTATAACTGCACAGGAAAGTCAATCATACAGAAGGCAAAACAACATTATACTGATATTACAAATCCAGGAATAAAAAATATATATATTTTATGCCACTGTCATAAAAAGTACACCAGCATGTGGTTTAAGTGAGAAATTAGATAATCATTGAAATGGCTGAATTGTGATTATTTTCTCATTTTATGCTCTCCAATGCCACTCCCTCCTTCCCACAAAGTCTAGCTAGTTCTTAGCTGTGCTCTAGTGCTTTTTCTAACTGCTGTAAACTGGCTTTGACAAGTCGTCTGCCAAAATCCGAGCTACCGGAGGTGATACCTGCATGTCACAAATTTGCGTCACCTGTGTCAGTATCCATACGAAAAGCTGAAAATTACAGTTCATGTGAATGATAGAAACCATTTCATGTTATTGTCCGGAGTACTAGACCATCTTCCTTGAATAGATTCTCAGTAACAAGCTTGATTCGATTTTCCCTGTACCCACAAGCAAGGACCACGTCAAAACCACATGAAAATACAAGGATGCAAAGAATTCAATGTAGAGTCGCTTCAGATTATGTTTTCAGCTTCTGTTTAGTTCAGAAAAGCTTACAACTTTGATTAAATCCTTTACAGTCAAACTTCTCCTGTAGGGAAGAAAGTCTTATTCAGTATTTGCTTACTAATTATGGTAAACACATTTTTAATTTTAGTTAATTATGATGCAGATATACATGATTCCTAAGATATTTCCAAATCCATTTCCAGAGGAGTATGGATTCCATAACACTAGCGGTAAAGGAATGGTCTTGGAATTTGGAACCACCTGGTATTTGGCTCTGTAGTTACTGTACCTCCCGCCCTGCGATGAACGTGCTGAATTGTCCCATTGAATACCAAGCTGGCTCTGGATTGGTTCATCGAGGCTGAGTGATCTGAGGAAAGGAATTTTATTAACAGTATAAGCACAGTCTACATTTAAGATACCAGGTGCTTCAAAAGAAACATGAATGGATTGTTCTAGCAGGACCTCTCAGTGGCCTACTCATGTTCCTCATTGCCACAGCGTCTTTAATCACTCTGTTTCAAAAGCTTCTCACTTTAATGTCTTAAATGAAATACCGTACATCATCTATCCAGTTATCTGAACAGTGGGCATGATTTCTATCCTGCTCTAGTAAAACCTGCCCCCCCCCCATCACCCTAAATATTGTCCCTAGCATCTGCCTGCTCTTTGTCCCTCATCACCACCAATTAAGGGACTTGAGTCTAGAACTTAAAGTAGCAGCTTCCTTATGGCTTCAGAGCAATGGATTAAAGGCA